AAGTCGAATGTAAGGTCACCAGTACACGAGCCTTGTCTATACTATAATGGATGTCTACTATTATGTTCAACTTTGCTCCTCGTCGGAGTCGTAATCCTCCTCGATAATGGGGAACGTCAACAGAGCGGCAATGCCCCCCAGCCCATCCAGTCTCCTGCCACTCTCATGATCTGAGCTGAGCACGCGAACCTCTCCACCTTCCACGTCCCGCACCCGGTCAACCAGTGATACCCAGCGTTTACGCTCGGCCACGTCCTGGGACCGGAACAGGCGATTGGAGATGATTAGTACGCCACCACCACGGCCCACGGCACCTTGATCAACTGCCGATTCGACCTCGCGCGGCCCGTAAGTCGCCTTGTTGGTCTCTTTCCGAAGTTGCTCCTGGAAGTCGTCCATAAGTTTGGTTTCTCGAGCGTACTTGGTATCGGCGAGGATCGTTTTGACGGAGGGTGACTGTAGAACTTCTGCCAGGGAATGTAGGTACCCGGAGGCGGAGTGGACGACCACAATGCTCGGGAGTAGACGCTTCAGAGCGGGTGTAGTGGTCGCCGCGACGGACTGGATGTGCTTTTGGAACCCGGCGGCAACGAACCCAGGCGATGCAAGGAGGACAGGCCGGACGGACTCGTTGCTCGTGAGAGAGGTAGAGCTGGTGTTGAATTCCATCTGGCGAAGAAGGGTGTCTAGCGTGACTTGGTAGAATTTCGTCAAGCCCTGACTAAGTTAGCAGGACCGTCGGCGTAGATGATAAAAAGAACGAGAATACTATCGAGCGCACCTTGTCATGATCGCTACCCCCTTGTCGTTTCCGCGGAACTGACATTTCAACCTTCTGCTTCAGAATCGTCTGAAACTGCCCAATAAAGCATATGTGAGCTAGACCCTCCTGCATAATAACGGCCACAGCCTCCGCCCTCCGTTTCCCGCCTTCATCAACCGCATCTTTAAGCATCTGGATGGCGATACTATCCCATCCCACCCCCTCGCCGTCTGAGCCAACTTCCTTTTCAAGCGTAAAGTTGCGATTCAACTCCAGATCCAGCGTATGGTGCTGGCCAACCTTGGTGTGCTGCGTCTCGTTCACAATCTGCCCACTCACATGCAGCTGGGAAAGCTGGGGATCGAAATCTAGAGATTTGACCCGGATCTCGAGCGTCAGGTGGACGCGAGCGGACGTCGTAGACCCAGTCTCTTGGGTCGTGGTAACACGGCGAATGGCACTGGCGCGGAGAAGGTCGCCGGGTCGAATTAGGTTGTATGCATGCCACTGAAGGAATTTGCTCAGCAATAGGGTCGATGCGATTGCTCAAAGGTCCAAGTGATTACCATGTCTTCGGGCTCTTCAGGGCACAAAGTGACAGTGCCCGAGCCGTTCAGCTCAACCTTGTTCTTGATCAAGCGCATCTTGCGTGTGGGAGCTGCAGGAGAGAGTAGGAACCGGCTGGGGAAGTTAGGTGTTATATCGGAACTTGAGTGGGCTGGTCTTTGAATGAGTTAAGTTCTTTCGCGATGGCGAGCGACTGTTCTTTCCTCGGTTTGATATACTTCTATCCAAGTGAGCATAGACGTAATGGATAATAATGGCTAGCTGAGCGCAGGAATTATGTAGAGGTTCGTTGTTTAACCTGGCTCCCCGCGAGTGTTGGCCGAGAGAAGATAGAAGACGGTGTTTTGCATCATCGGCGTCGAAGGTGCGGGACACGCCTTAGAGCGGTCTAGCGCAGATCTAGCTCCGTTATCGATAAGATTGATATGGCCAAACCATACATAAGCCCTAATTTAGACAGGGCTACATGCATACTCCAAGTCACCAAGTAGCTTCCAGAAGACTAAGTGGATATTCTCCCTTTTATGTGGCCATAAGCCAAGGATTTATGTTCCGCGGGTGCCTGAAAAACACCCCCTGTGTGATATCATTTCCCGTGCATAACCCTGAAAAGCCTAACAGCCGAATTCGGTCTGCCGTTTTAGAGCAGCCCCACGTTGATGTTATCCACAAGACGCCATGGGAGCTAAATCACTCGTCAGGACCGCTGATCCGACCGGAAGTGGAAGACTGTGGAATAAATAACCGGAGCGAGGGACCCGGTGAACATCTGATGTTCCGTTGTCTTCTCTGTTACATCTACCCCTCCACACCGTCTGTTGGGCAAAGGTGACTTGCAAGCACTCATACAAGACAGAGCAAATACCACGGCCACACCGACATCATGGCTCCACTATCACTTCAGTCGACCCTTAAGTTGGTCTCGGGATATGAGATCCCTGTCGTTGGTTTCGGTGTAAGTCGCAGCCGGATGGACCTTGACTGAAGAGTATGATTCTGACAACTATAATCCGATTTTAGGTTTACCAAACGTAAGTCTCGAGGGCTATATTTCAATCTTAATAAGGTATATGGCATCAATACTGACTTGTCGGCATAGTCCGCCTGATATCACCGAGAAGGTGACCCTGAAGGCCTTAGAAACCGGCTACCGCCATGTAAGGTGTTTTTGTTCTGCATTGATTGAACAATGAAACTAACTCGACACCCCCACAGGTCGACAGCGCCAAGTACTATGCGAACGAAGCCGAATGCACCGAGGCTATCCGCAAGTCGGGTATCGAGCGTTCCAAGATCTTCTACACAACCAAGGTCCCCGTCAGCCACATGTCCTACGAAAAGGCTAAAGAGGCTATTGAAGCTAGCCTTGCGGATGCAGCTGGAATCGGCTATATCGACCTGTAATCACTATCCCTAGTCCCATATGAAAGCCAGACAACTAACACCGACAAGGGTGCTGCTCCACGCTCCCTTTGGAGGTAAAGAGGGTCGCCTTGGCGCCTGGCGCGCTCTGGTAGAAGCTCAGAAGACCGGCAAGGTCCGTTCCATCGGAGTTTCCAACTACGGTATCCACCACCTCAACGAATTGGAGGAATACATCAACAGCGGCGTGGGTGGTCAGATCTCAGTCGGCCAATACGAAATCCACCCCTGGTGCCCGAGAGAAGACATTGTCGATTGGCTGAAGAAGCGCAACATTGTTGTTGAAGCGTATTCGCCTTTGGTGCAGGCCACTCGTATGAACGAGTCCGTTTTGCAGAGTCTAGTCAAGAAGCACAACAAGACTCCTGCTCAGGTCTTGATCCGGTGGAGCTTGCAGAAGGTATGTTTTCCTTTATTATCGGAGTTTCTATGCGATGTGTTGACCCTGTTCCAGGGCTATGTCCCTCTCCCCAAGTCCGTGACCGAGTCACGTATCATCGAGAACACGCAGGTCTTCGACTTCGAGCTATCGGAAGAGGACATGGAGAGCTTGAAGACAGGGGTAGATGCACCTGTTTGCTGGGATCCCGCCAGGGACTCCCGCCTGTGATATCCAAGCAAGTGTGCGGAGATTTGAGCATGGGTTCTTCCAAAAGTCTAATATCTTAAAGTCGGAACTAGGCCAAATAGATGATAAATGAACTAGAGATTATTTATTTTATGAAACTTCATTTTTGTACTTTTGGAAAGGATTGTGTTGAGCAGAGCTCGGATGGCCAAGATCGCAGGATGAATACAAGTTCCCGTGAATTTGGTCTCAGATAAACCGCCGTTTCGGCACAACTTAATGCCGTCCGCAAGACACCTACAGCTTCCGTTTACGGACCTTAACAACATGATGATCAACAAAAGGCCTTTGTTACTTCCTTAGCCAAAATACTCCATGAACATCTCCAATGTCTGCCTATATTTCGCCAGTCTCAAGGGACGTAACTCCTAGTATATACCTCTATTTCCGCCCTAGGTCAAGATGCCTGGATCGCCGAAACGTATCGTCCTAGAGAAATCGCGAACTGTCCGTCGTCGATATCAACGCAGCAATAAACGTCTCAAGTTCACAGCGTCTCAGATTGCGCGAATCGAACGGGATGAAGAACGCGAGCGCAAAGCGCAGAAGCTTCGGGAGAAGGAGAAGAAGCGCATAGCCAACAAGAAAAAGAAGGCCGAGAAAGAATTGAAGGCTCGAGAAGAACGACGACGACTTGGTATAGCCGATCCCAATGCACCCACCGTTCCGTCGAGCCAGCCGTCGCTATTCAACTTTCTTAAGAAAGACCCTCACGTCCCTGCGGAGCAAGAGACGACATGTGAAGATACAGAGCCTGATACTATAAGCACGGAAGTGGATACTAGCGAGGACTCGAACTCGGAGCAGGATGAACCAGACGACGCGGAAGCTGTCAGTCTAGAAGTTAGTATCGACAGTGTTGGTGGAGCTAGGGAACCTCAAGAGGTCAATTGCGGACAGAGAGATGACGACGAATTTTCAGACTGCTCTATCTTCGACGATGAAGACATTATCAAGGAAGCTGGAATTATCGCGGCCCCACAGGGCGCTGCTCAGGCAGAGCCAGAGCAAAAGGAGCACAAAGATCAAGTAGCCCCTCCAGTCCCGATCAGTCTACCAGCAGGGGAATCCTTCCAGGATGATACAGCTATCTTGCTGGAAGAATTTGCTGATGAATTCGATACCGACGAGGAATTCGAACAGGAATTGCTCCGGCTAGATGCAGGATGAGCATAGAGACTCACTTAGTGCAGTTTACTATATGGCTTTGTGAGTACAAGGGGTGTTTTATTCTTTAGCACGACAATTTTTCCTGCGGAAGCTTCTGACTTCCGTTTCTGACATCGGCCCCGCTTAGCGCCGCTTGTTGCTCCATGAGCAACTAGAAGCCTGAAATAAACAGCATCAACATACGTGCGTTGAACAACCGCAGGGCAACCCAGAGCAGTGCAAGGGCGATCCAGGGCGATGCCTGAACACTTGGCCCTTCTAGAGCTAACCGCATGCCATACACATGGCTATAGCTCAACCCCTGTGGTTGTCATCCACCTCATGGGCAATGAGTGCCATCTATGCTATCCACAATGCTTCTGCAATGCTTTCTATCATTGCCACCACCAAGGATCTACGTACAACCGTTCTACACTAACTAGACCATCGATTCTCGTGTCCCAATATCTTGAAATTTTGGTAGCAAGAATATAATTATCGCAAATCCCGACGAGGTTGAAAGGCTGGCCAATCTATTTGACTAGTCCCGCCGTGATATTGGAGAACCTGTGCCTGTTGATGCACTATAGAGACCCAATTACAACACATATCACTTTCATTTTATGCCACCTGAAAGCTAATTCAGCAATGCTAAAATATTGGATATTATCTTTGGATACTTGCACGGGGTAGAGGCTCGTTCCAGGGTTAGCCACACGTCTGTGATGCATTTTTTCGACCTCGTTAGGGGGTCAACTGTTGGGAGACCTGGGATCCGATGACCGCAAACAGAGCCCCATGTCAGTGGACTGGGCCTGCGAATATCTCACTAAGAATTGTATTCTAAGCATTGAACACTTTAGGTATTGAATATATTTCCATGCGCGTTGATATTAACCAGCCTGTGTAGCCCTCATGTTTAGCTCATGCCGGCGTCTCTACTAGTAGTTAGTAGAAAACTAACACTATCCGACCCGACGGGCGACGATCCGCACCGCTATCCGAGCAGCGCCCCGCGTCGGCTAGGCCATTTATCAACTAAGCGCGGATTTACTCCACTGCCATCCCGACGGATATACAGGGAAATAGATTAAATGCAGGAAAGAACGGCGTCATACATAGCAGCCCTACTACCCTAGTAGTCTACTACCTAATGAAGTAAGATCCGATTGATCACTACCTATCTTCACCTCTTCACCTCCTCACCTCCTCCTAATTCCAATACTACAATCCCAGCCCTCAACCCCCAAAGAGCAACCATGCCCTCCCTCAACATAAACAACCACCTCCTCCACTATGCCGACTCACATCCCAACGGCGCCCCAGAACAAGGCCAAACCATCGTCTTCATCCACGGCCTCGGCTCCTCCCAAAACTACTACTTCCCCATCCTCCCCCATCTAACCCCCAACCACCGCTGCATAACAATCGACACCTACGGCTCCGCCCGCTCAACCTACACGGGACAGCCGATATCCATCGCCTCTATAGCCGCAGATGTAATCGGCGTGCTAGACGCACTTAGCATCCCCAAAGCCGTGGCCGTCGGTCACTCCATGGGCGGCCTTGTCGTCACCCTCCTCGGCGCTCAGTATGCAGACCGCATAAAGGCCGCGGTAGCTATTGGCCCAACGCATCCTTCCTCGACGCTCACGTCGGTGATGAATAAGAGGAGCGAGACTGTTTCCGAAGGTAACACTCTCCTACCCTACACCACCATACACTCCATTACTCCCCCAACCCATCCCACGTATGTACATATTCTCTAGAATGCGACTGACTAACACCACCCCACCCCAAAAGCGGGCATGGAACCAATGGCCAACTCCATCCCATACCAACAACCGGATCCGGATGCTCAGCGCTCGCGAAGTCCTTTATCCGGGAACTCATTCTCGGGCAGAACCCTGAGGGCTACGCGGCGCTTTGTCGGGCTATTGCTGCGGCGCCCGTGATTGATTACTCGGCTGTCCGGGCGCCGTTCTTGCTTATTGCCGGCGAGGAGGATAAGTCTGCGCCGTTGGACGGGTGTCGGGTTATTTTTGAAGGGGTGGCGAGTGAGAAGAAGAGTTTGGAGGTGCTGCAGAAGGTGGGTCATTGGCATTGTGTTGAGGCGCCGGAGGCTGTGGGGGATATGATCGCGCGGTTTGTTGGGGGGATTGCTCTGTAGGGAGTTAGTGAATTTCAGTTCAATATTAGGCATTTCTTACTTCTTGGGAATTGGGTCGATGTGTTCTCTACTTCTACATGGATGTATATATATGGGATATATATATGTGTGTGTGTGTGTGTGTGGGTGAGAGAGAGAGAGATTAAGGGCTGGTTGATGGCGTTTCCTGTCTTGTACAATGCGTAAACAGGATCATACTAAGACATACGGAAGAAATGCAAGCGCAACTTAAGATCACAAATCTCCCATCATGATTTCACTAAAACAAGCTTCAAGAATGCTAAAATTGAAGGAAAGGTATATACAAAATTCGTTAATCAAGAGACAAAAATGTTTATACACCATTGGTGCTGCTCGACTGGGCCGGCACCAATTTCACATCATAGTTCAGCTCAAGACCGGCTTGAGAGTCACCCTCGCGGGGAATAAAGTCCACGATCAGCGAGTCCTTGACGGCGAAGACAGAGTCATTGGTTAGGTATTGGTCTTTGCGGTCGAAGATCTGCGTGGTGAGGGGCTTGTAGCCGTCATGAGTAGCCTAAACACTCGTTAGCTGGGTCCGCGACGCTTGACACAAGCAAAAGCGAATAGCAATATAGACTCACAATGATGTGAATATGAGCAGGTCGGAATGGATGTCTGTCCATCAGCTTGAGCAGCTTCCCGGCCGGTCCTGCATTCAACACAGGTCAACATTCAAACCACATAAAACCCGGGACGAAAGTGAAACGTACCGTCATCAGGAACAGGGTATGGCGTGGGTCTCAAGCAGTAGAAGTAATACCGGCCCTCCTCGTCCGTCTTGAACTTTCCGCGGAGGTTGAATTCCTCCTGGTTCGGGTCCTGCTGCTCGTACAACCCATTCGTCGCCGCCTGCCACACCTCCACGGTAGCTCCCACCAGTGGCTTCTTGGTGGTGAAATCGATAACACGGCCATGCATGAAAGCCATCTCGCCATCCGGGACCCCCTTGACGATGTTATCGCCGTTCTTGCGGTAGGGGGTGTCGGCGCGGAAGAATGGGCCCAGGATGGCAGTTGCGGTGGGAGCGTCTTCGGCCTCTTCAGCCAGTTTGAAGGTGATTTCGTCGACGAGGCTTGAATTTCAT